TCAACAGATCCAGTAGGTTGGTGAATCTAAAGATAATTGATGGGGGAAAGATGAATGAAGCTTATAGTTGAATGAAAGTGAACGATGGAGTGTGGGGGTATGCTGCCTTTGGATCAAATTGCATGATGAAAGAACTGTACGATTATTATCTGAGAACTTCACCCTGTGTGATTGAAGCTGAGCACTTCAGAGCAGTAACTTTATTAGCTTAGGGCCTGTTTGTTTGCACGGAAGTAATTGTGAAGTAGCTGAAGTAAAAGAAGTAAAAGCTACTTCTGCTACTTCCAAGCAAAAAAATATGTTTGGTTCTCTAAAAAACTTACTTCCAATACTTCCCTAAATGTTTATGTGGCGTTTACGTGTCATCATTACTTTCAAAATATTTTTTTAATCCTCAATACTCAGAAGTAGCTCGGAAGTAGTTGAAATGCATATTAATTAGGGCATAAATAAAATTTTTTTATTAGTTACTTCTAACAACTTTTCATTGATAAAATTACTTCCTAGTAATATTTTTAAATGTTATCCAGACAAAAAAAAGTAAATGAAGAGGAAGAAGTTTTACTTCTATTACTTCTAAAAATATATGAAACAAACAAAAAAAATATATTATTTTCACTACTTCCTACTTCATACCTTTGAAAGTTACTTCTATAACCTACTTTTTACTTCTAATACTTTCATTATCCAAACGGGCCCTTAGTTGTGAACGTTAAACTACTGATTTATGTTTCGTGAGCTTCTGTGATCTTGTCATTAATGGTAACTTATTTAAGATGTGTTTCAATAGCAATCGTATTACACTTTTAATCATTATAGTCCGAAAAAGTGAGATAGTTTTAGAAAATTTGTTTCCGGAAAAAAAAAGTGATAATCTTGTCATTAATGGTAACTTATTTAAGATGTGTTTCAATAGCAATCGCATTACACTTTTAATCATTATAGTCCGAAAAAGTGAGATAGTTTTAGAAAATTTGTTTCCGGAAAAAAAAAGTGATAAATCGCAGCTGTTGATACTTCTGCTGGCAAAATTTTTGCTATTAATTTTTGTTTTCACGTTTAAAAAAATTAGTCAGAATAAGTAAAAAGGTAAATTTTGCAAAGCCATGACAAACTGGAGTGATCCACACAAAACTATCATAAAATCTTTTTTTTTAAATGTCAAATATTTGTGCTAAACTATCATAAAATCATGAAAATAAAATTATTAGAAAGCTGTAGAATTGCGGGGTATGTTTTGGACAAGTTTGTTCGTATATTCGTTATATGTTTTCTAACATTATTTTATACTTAGATTTCTTTAGAAACAATTTTCAATGTTGCACGTTACTTCTCTACAATTTTGAAAGTTTAGGGGGGGTATATTCTCTAATAAAATTTTTATGACAATTATAGATCAAGGCCCCTTAAAGTTCATGATTTTTTAAAGAAATTTATTTTTAATAAAAGATAAAGATTTTTTTAGTATATTTACTACAGTCGATGCACTAATATTTCCCCAAAGCTTTGAGATGCAGCTCCGAATTCGAGAGAGCGTTATGAAGTAATTTTGCAATCGACAAAAATATCTAAAATATAAAAGTACTCAATTCCCCAATAGTACCAAGAGTAGTATTAACTATTAAGTGCAACCTGCAATCATATTTTTTAAGGGTCTAAACGAAAATGTGAATGATATACAAAGTTTCCATAAAAAAAAGAAAAAAGAAAAAGAAAAAGAAAGAAAGAGTGATACACAGAGGTAGCATGGTTATTTCTTTAAGAAATCGCAAGTAATTCTTCACAACAGTTTACCGCATAGGATATTTCTATGCGGGACGCCTGAAGTCTCAGGCCGAAATCGAACAAAAACTGTGGGCTATATGGTCCAGCAAGTTTGGGGATTTTTGCAGTCGCATACGATTTATTTACGCGTACAATTCTGTAGAAATATTCCGTTCCTATTTTATGCGAAGCGGTCTTTCCGTTCTCGGCCTCACCAATTTCCGCGGGACCCACGACCCGCTACGGGGAAATAGAGAGCTCAGCTAATTGATTTTTTTGAAGTGAAAAAAGCTCCAGTGCAATTTTTTTTTGAGAGAAAGCTCCAGTGCAATTTGGATGTACTAAGTTGAGTTTTTCCATTTTTTTATCAAAATAAAATCGTTTACGTTTTTTGTTAATTAATTAAAATAAATTTATTAAACTCTTAATTATTCAAAAAATATGGCAATCAATAGATTGCTAATCAAAGTAATTGATTTTATTTTTTAAAATAATATAGTAACCTGAGCTTTTTTATTTTATACTCAAAAAAATGATGTAGTTATATTTTCTTATGGTATGCTATGTTTTATGATCTGTTTTACTTTCATTTTGTTATAATCCATAGTAAATAAAAATTAGCTCTTATATATTATGCAATATGCAAATTTTTGTTGTGAACTGCTATATGCTTTTTTTTATTTTCTATTTTCATTTCAAGGGAAAAGAGATTTTTTTTTTTTGGGTTTATACTCTTAATTTTCTTCTTCTTCTTAACTAGGTGAAATTAACTATTTTTCCGATTCGTCGAGAAGTAAGTATCCCTTGCCTACCTTGTCATTTATTGATAAAAAAATTTAAGACATAAATCGATACCGATACGCAATCCATCTGATAAAGAACTTGAAGCATGGGGAACACGTTGCCCTTGTCAACCGTGACATTTCGTGAAGAAGGAAATGTTTAACACGAGAGGTTTAATATTGGAGAATACCCTTCTTCGATCCATCTTTTGCTAAAATTTTAATCCTATTTTTCACTAATTAATTTAAGTCAACAAGCGTGATAGGACCGAATCCTAACGGATAAGGCTTGAGGATATGAACTGACCAAGGCATTAGCCTAGTCAGCAATGATTAAAAAATAATAATAATAATAAGAAAAGACTACCTGAAGACCAGAGAAATTCTAACGCCCACACCACCAGATTCTTGCCCCCCACAAACTTTTCTCTCCTTCATTCTCTTTTGATAATACCTTGTTTTTATTTCTCCTTGGCTTTTTCCAAATAACAGCAGTTTGTCCTTTTCCTGTTCAAACCAAACAAGCAGAAAGTAGCTTTTCTTACGCACATCTCAAATAAAGAACTCACTCTTGATCTGCACACGGCACTTCCACTTTATAATATGAGTATATTTTCTCACTTACTTCGTTGACTGCCTTGAAACTAAATGAAGACCAAGTCATAATTAGAAACTTTCAGTACCCTCTTCAGTTATATAAAGCTCGCTCTCGTCGTCAACAGCCTCATGACAGCCAACACAAGACACACAAAGAGCTCTCCTTTCGTCTTCATCTTTTTCTCCCCCTCAAAAAAAAATCCATGGCTACAGGCTCCAACTCGAAACCTGTACAATATGATGATCAGGATCCTGATAAACTCACCATAATAGTTGAGAGAAACCCCTCAGAGTCGCGCTTATTTGAGCTGCGCATCAAGTCATGGCCAAAGTGAGTTTCCTGTTTCTCTTCAAGATGTAAGCAAACCTATACAGTAGCTAGAATAATGGAACTTGAAACAGACAGACCCCTAGTCCTGCATATTTATACTAAGGGGGTAATGCACATGAACAGCTGTAGTATTGTGTTGTGCCACTTATTACCCGTTAAGCTTATATAAGCATGTAAAACACCCTAGGAATCGAACATTGTTCACATTTGAATTCAACAATCCGGAGGTTTGCTTGCAACATAAATAAAAAAGGTTAAGGAATTCTATATGATCGTCTATCTGTCTATATCAAACTTAAAGAGTAATAAGTGGCACAAGGAAATATTATAGGGGCTCCGTGCGCATCAACTCTCATATGAAGCTGAAAGTTCAGTCATAAATTGAGATTTTTTTTCCCCCCTGTAGGTGGAGTTGCCCTCCGGGGAAATTCTCTTTCAAGTTCGATGCAAAAGAAACATGTTATCTACTCAAGGGGAAGGTCAAAGTCTACACAAAGGGATCTTCAGAGTGTATTGAGTTTGGAGCAGGAGACCTTGTGATCTTTCCCAAAGGACTTGGCTGCACTTGGGATGTCTCTGCATCTATAGACAAACATTATAAATTTGATTCCTCTTCTTGCTAGCGGTCTCCTCTCCCTTCCACTCTGCTATCAACTTTCTTCAATGTTCCTATTCAAGTGCAACACTTCCCAGTCTAAAACAGACAATAGCATGGATACCCTCAAAATAGAACCGCTTAAAATGAGTTCTTGGTCACACAACTGAAGAACATGTAAATTACTTCTCTTTTGAAAGTCATCTTCTGAAATTGAGCTCGTCCACCACCACTTGTGGAACTTAGGACCGGAGATTGAGAATGCTCGTCCTAATGGTGTTGGTTCCTTCTCACTGTTTCTCATCTTCAGGTCCTTCATTCATTTGCCTTGGTTGAGGTAAGCAACTAAAAGTCGTAGAGGGGACTGATTTGCTCACAACAAGAACAAAAAAGGCACATACCAATTTCAGCAGCTTTCTGTCTTTAGCAGAAGCCGCAGCAGATGAGTCAATATGAGCCTTTCATCATGTTCAGACCGAGTGAAAGTGTTGACATCCTTCGCTAGATTGTGTTTTCATTGGAAGCATTTTCTCTCAACTATTGTCAATATCCCTCTTTAACTGAAAATTTCATGTTGTGGCGTGGATGCGAGTTTCTGAGCAAATTAGGCGAGAGAATGGGTCAAGCAGATAGATGAACAGAACCTGAATGAGCAGCAGAAAGACGTCGACTGGGATGAGATAAAAATAGATGGTCTGTATTTCATTAGACTAGGATTTGTTTAACATCTCAATAGTCCTGTAGTCACATGTCGTAAAGTTTCAAAGCTGTAATCCTAGGGAGAATTGTTGCTAGATAACAGGTGATGGGTGAAAGTAAATCTGATCTCTAGCCTCAATGATTTCAACACAAAAAGGACATATCCCAGTATCTCTCAGCTCGCTGAAACTGCCTTATATCCCAAAGTTCCTCTGGCACTTCAAGGTTCAATCTTCCAGCGATCGACTTCTTATCTGGCTTTGTGTTGTGAAGGTCTTAAGTTGATTATCTGCGCTTTCTCCAGCAGGATTGAATGTGGGTTTGTTTCTTTCCTTTCTGTTTGTTTTTCCTTGTAATTTTGGTTAAAGCATACACTATCTCAAGGTGTGGTCACTCAAGTTCCTTTATGGAGCTTTTTCACTTCCTAATTTGTATTCAATTACCCTCTTCCTTGTGTGATGGACGCTATCCCCTTCGGTTAGGTTCTTCACTATCTCAATTGTCTTGCCTCTCCGTATTGCTTCTCAGTTCTCATTTAACATGAACGTTCTCAATATACAGCCGTATTGAAGTGTTAAACATGTTTACCAATTGTCCAATACCCTACACCATAAAGCAGAGCCAATCAAATAGCCATCTTCTAGAAATTTTCCTACAAACTTTATACGGTCACATAGTGCTCGCAGACTATCACGTTTACCAACCTGCTCTAAAACACCCATTTTAGATGCAGGACATCATGAATGATTGATCCTCAATAACGAGATAATTATTAAATCACTTTTGATTATTATTAGCACCTTTTGCATTAACTGCTAGGCATCAAGAAAATGGTGAGTTCTGTTATCTCAAAGAATAGTTTGTGACTTACAATAAAAGGAGATACATGTTTGTTCCACTTTGGATGTAGAAAGTAGGCTGCAGGTCATTCATTAGTGAAGACGATACAAGAGGTTTTATTCAGCGAACCACCAACATACTTCAATAGATGATCGAACAGGATAGGTCAGCATCAAATTTGATTTTTATATCAAGTCCTCAAAGTTAGCAATTTACAATAATGATATATAATGATACATAATAATGTACATGCAACTGACCGGTAACTGAAGGGGTCATTGGAGGTGCTGAAGACAAATTCCAGCATAACATTAGTAGCGGTAACCAACAGCACAGCTTGGATTCCGAAGCACCTAGATTACAACTGTAAGAAATGAATGGGAATACAACATATCTTCTCGAAGAGAACGGAAAACTTGAACCAACCCATTAAACCTGAGACTATAGAAAAAAGAAAAATATTTAAATCAGTAGATTGAGGTAAGTTTAAGCAGATAGAAGAAAACGCAAAAAGTATAATTCAACTTTTAACAGAAGAATGGTACCCAAAATAAAGAATTGATCAAATTTTCTTGAAAACTATATTTATCGTGAGATGTTAGAGAAATTTTTTCAAAGCTCCTACATACATCTGAAGCCTACTCGAAATTCACTAGTATACAATTTAGCAAACTCTGGTTACATTTATCCTGAAGGAATAAAAAATTTTGCGAGCAAACCATGAAAAAAGCTTCGAAAATCCCATTTCCAAGTTACGTGAAAAGATTACCTTCTCCTTCTTCTTGTTAGTGTTACTACCTATGTTGCATGGATACAGGTCTTGCGCAGGTACGGGACATAGCAAACTTGAAAAAGGTAGGGCCGGGGCTACTGTGTGTATTGAATTTAATAATTTACATGAGATTAATATTGTGTTTTCATTTACATGTCAAGAATAAAAATTTATAAATTATTTTTATGTTTCTTTTATTATGTATGTAAATAAATTGGAAAAATCTTGTTTTCGAAATAAACATGCAGACAACCCTCTAAAAACATAGTTCTAAACTGAGTACGTATTGAAATGAACCCAGCCTTATCCAACAAGTTTCAAAGTGTATCTGAACTGTACGATATACATCCATGAAGTTTATGATGTGTGTTTTAAATTGAAACATGTACTATATAATTGAGTACAAATCCAAATAGACGTATCTATGCAAGGACTGTCCAAGGAGTGTATCTGAACTGTATAATTGGCAACTTATTAAAAATGGGTCATGGTGGGCCTCGCATCTTGTTCTGAATTAGAACCAGTTGTGGACTGGGTCCACCCGGTCCACAACTAAACCAGTTTAAACCCATGAACTAAAACAAACCAGACCATTTCTGACCAGTGTTTGCCAATCAAAAACCTATTTTTAACTAGAACAAGTCCAAACCTGGCGCAGTTTTAGAGAGTTGCCAAACATACCTTTAATTTCAACTAACCACGTTGTTATACTCAACTCTCATGCCTGATATCTGAGCATTGCAAAGCTCTCGAAACTATTTGAAAGCATTACCTTCTCTTTCTTGGTTGTAATAATCCTCTAGTATAACATACACCACTTCACTTCAGGCTACTTGACCAATTCACTTTGTGCTACTTGAACATTTTTTGTTTTCGTTTGGGTGGTGGTGTTTTTTTTTTTTTTTTTTTTTGGGGGGGGGGGGGGGGGGGGCTGTCTAAACAGATGAACAAATCAAGAATCTCCATCTCTCCTTAGGAGATTTGACACAGTCAATCAAGTGAGGTCTTTTTTCACATAATGAAAAAGACAAAAAAAAAGGTAGGAAAAAAAGCCACAAAACTGTAGTTTAGAGAAGAATGTTAATCACCCTGTATTTCCAATAAGCGGAACCATTATATCACATTTTGGCCAGGTTAGGATGTAGCAAACGTCTTGCAAAGAAGCTGTGTTCAGAAGTTATATGTAAAACTAATCAGAAAAATGCAAGTAAATTATTTGAAAATAAGATAAGATTTTGTGGCCCTTGTATGTTAAAGGTTTGATGCTGTGCATATTTCATAATCAGCTATAACTTTGTGGGGGTATTTTGGCAGACTTCTTATAAAAGTATCCACCCCCACCCTCTACGAAAAAGACGAAGGGCACACACGAAATCACCGATATAAACACACCCCACAAGCTACAATGTGCATGGCCCAACGGGCAAATTGGAGTTTGTTTCAGAGCAGCTCCCAGCTGCACATAACATCATTTGCTGACGGTGCACCTTTTCTCCTGATTTTTTGTACCATTGCTCATTGCACATATTGTCAACGCCAACAATATGAGATGGAACATTAAGGAAGGCACACTCTACCTCTCCATTCCAACATTTGACCCTTTCATTAAGAAAGGGATCCTAAGAAAGTAAGAACTAATTTTCTGTTTAAGTCATTAAAACCTCTTTGTAGGTGTAGGAGCTCAGACCATTAAAAGAGTGGGAAACAATTCCAACTATTTACTTGCATTTACCATCCGCTCAAATGGAATGAATTCCAGGAAATACGAGTAATTATTATATGTTGGAAACAGGCGCGGAGTCATAAAATGAAGAAAAAACAATGATATTTGACGGGGAATGGGTTCACGAAATTGGCAGCAATAAAATGAAGCATAAGTTTGTTGATGGATGGAGGCAGTAAAACAAAAGGAAAAGAGAAAGAAATGATGAATAGGAGGCATTTTGTTCTCTTGTGATGATTTTAGGCAATAGCAATCACATGGCTGTTGGCTTTTGACTACATGGTAATACTTGGAGGGAATTTGCCTTTGTAGCGTAGAAAGAAAGAGGGGCATGAATCATGTGACGCTGCTGGTTGAGAAGAATAGGTTTGGGGTCCTTTTTTTCCCTCTTTCTCTGGGATGAATGAGAAACAGAGTTGTGGCTAAACATTCAACAGAACAAAATAATCGAAAGACCAAGGCCACATTTGTTTTTATCCCCGGATGAGGGAGTACTGTAACCCTAGGATTATATTCCTAGGACTGTGATATCCTGGGACTATTTTAGTCCAGACCCATGTTTGTCTTAATTGGAATAACATTTGGACTAACTTAAGATAGTCTCAACCAGGGTTTGTTTTTAGAAGGATTATTACAGTTGGAACTGATATCATAATCTAAATGACGTTCTTGCCCTCCCACATCAGCCTCAATATCATTGGGGAAGCTGGCATCCTGTCTTCATCTCTTTCACCGGCACCTGAGCTCCTACACCAGTGGCCTCGTCTTTCCCATAGTGAACTGTCAATCTTCACATATACCACACCGCTGGGTTTTTACGTCATTTCCCTAACTCGGTATATTTCTATATAATAGATATGCATTTTAGTTATTTTTAGACAGTATGAACATAATAACAATTATTAATGTCTAGTAATTGAAATTCTTTCTTACCTTAGAATATTCTCTCCGTACATTCTCATCATCAATAAAAATCACCTCAAGAACGTTATTCCATGATATGCCACTAGTATTTAAGGCAGCGTAAGTGCAAAGGTATCCTTTGAACTTAAAATCTTGCAGTAATTGAAGCAAGAAGTTATTAAGACATAATCCCTATGAATGACACATTCTCATTCATAATAGCAATTCATCATGGCACTCCATTTGGTAATTTGTCTTTTGTTGCCACGTTCTTTTTGTTCTTGTGAATTTTTTATAAAGGTTGATAAGAGAGCAATGAACAAACTACACATAAAAATAAGATCCCGTGGAAAGAAGCTAAAATGATAGGAGCAATTATGTCTCTAAGTTGTAATCCCCTCCAGCTGATAAGTATCCGGATTGCAAAGGTGGGGATGGGATTGGTTTAACTTAGTCATCTTTCTGGGGATTATGAAGCCCCTCCTTAAAAATAGTCCGGACCAAATGAGAAACTAAACATGGGATAAAAAGGTGGGTCCGAACATTTTAAAATAGTACCCGGACTATCACAAAAACAAACATGGCCTAACAGAAAAATAGAGATAAAATAGAATGAAAATAACATATAATTCTGGTTAAACCGGACTCGCTCATAACAACTAACCTCTTTCCATCTTGTGATCAGTTCAGATTTTAGGGTTTGATTTGTTCATTGTATTCACTTCATGAGTTGAACAATTATTTTGATAATCATAATGTACAGTCCTTTCTTGCGTGACATGTCTTGAACCAAATAATTCATTCTCTTTGTTTGATAAGGAAAAATTATCTCGGTTGGCCAAGTTTTATCCTAAAGAATTTTTCATTGAAACTATATGCAGAGAGCTACTCACTTATATAGCTATATTTATATATATATAGAGAGAGAGAGAGAGATAGATAGAGAGAGAGAGAGAGCAAGACTCATATCAACTTAAGTGGATAGGGAATAGTTGTCCACCAAACTTTTTAGCCACTCATTTATTATATTAAAAAGTCTCTTCATATCATGCAAGGATCCCTAGGCAAGATCCATGGATAAAAAGTTTGGTGGACAAACTATTTCCTATCCACTTAAGTTGACACAAGTTTTCACCGTTTTATATATATATATATAGTATATATATATATATATATATATATATATATATATATATATATATATGATCAATTTGAGAACTGCATCTCCTACATAGCTAGTCACCATGTTTTTTCTAAAACTGAAGGGATGATAAACTTGCTAAGAAGTTGATTGAATGGAAGATGGATACTTTGCATCCTGTGGTATACAAGTACGTGAAATTCACATTAATCTTGTACATTGCAACGACAACTGTTGAAAGAACATTTTCAGCAATAAAAATTATTAAGAATAACATTTGAAACCGAATGGGAGATGAGCATATGAATTATTGTTTAGTTTCTAATATTAAAGAAGATATATTTTGTAACATTGATGAGGAAGATGTCATGAAATAGTTTCAAGAAATGAAGGCAAGAAGAATGTTACTATGAACACTATATTCTACTCGGAAATATGGTTTTGAAAGTCTCGCAGCGTATGTTTAGATGCTTTTTGAAAAAAATAATGATCTTGTTTAATTATTTTTTTAAAACCCCTTGTCATAATTCCTGGCTTTGCCACTGGATTGACATGAATCATAGGAGTTTAATCTTAAGCAAAATAGATTATTAATACTCCACTATATATGAAAAAAGAAAAGCAACGGTATAGTTTTCAATGACAGTATCTTCTCATTAGTAAGTCACACGACAAGATATATATATCATTAGATTCTCATTTTTATTTGGAAATTTTTAAACTAAATGCATCTTACAACACAATGTAATAGATGACCACAACAAAAAGGTTAATGGACAGCGAAGAGCACACATATACAAACACAAAAAGGATCTAGCAGAATCTCAATACTAAGGGGACAGAATGTTAGTGATCATAAACAGAAAAGGCATGACAACAACAAAAAGGCTAACAGGCAGCACGAAACACACACACACACGAACACAAGGATTTAGCAGAATCTCAATACCACGGGAATAGACATATTAGTAATCTTAAATATGAAAGGCATGAAATAAAAAGGTAAAAAGCTCTGAGAACCCAAATACTACCTCGAGAATACTTTCTTCAAGAAAAAAGTTAGTGCCTGTACAATTTGCATCCTGTGAACCATCAAACTTTAGAATTCTTAGCTTGCCTTCCTGCATTCCACCATAGCAGTCTCTTGAGAATATAATAAAAACCTCTAATACCTTAAAACATTGATAGGCTTTTCTTTTCTTTTCTTTTCTTTTCTTTTTTTCACTGACCTTAGTCCCATAAACAAGACCTCCTCCAACCAAAGGATGAAAACATGCAACATTGACTTCATCTTCTGCGCTGGGTAAAACTCTTACAAGCTCCATATCTGAAACTCTATAAACCTGCATTCCAATATTAAAAATATAAACAAAAGCAATCCCGTTCCGTTTCTAAAAATGTTCAATAGAACAGGAAGTGAGAACAGGAAGTGAGAATTTTGTAGAGACGTGCTCATACAATAACTTCTAACCAGATAAGCTAGCCAGTAGCCATATTGCAGGTTGGTATCCCCTAGTTAACTAGTTTATCTCCATATTTCTCCACCACCCTCCAGCGAAAAAACAGAAGAATAAAAATAAAAATAAAAACATGCAAAGAACAATGTATTCTGCTTATACATTTGTACCTCAGCAACCCCTTCAGCGTAACAATGTTTGAGACATGTAAATGTCCAAAGCTACAGTAATGACAGATGTACTATCAACAACCGTAGATAGTCATTGAGATCACTATTCACTAACTTAATTTTATATTTAGCCTCACAAATTAAACTTTTCTAAGGGCGACATCTGACCAATCACCAATCACTTGTTTTGCAATGACCAGTCTTTTTTGTGACAACACTTGGGTAATGTCTTCCTTTCCTTCTATAATGATCCTCAAATTCAATCCACTATTTGTTAGTGATAGCCTAAGGTGTCTGCCATACCCACACAAATCTAAGGCATTCAGATATTATCTGTAAAGAAACACTCACTAATTCATAGTGGATACACCTGGCTAACACTTAAAACATTAAATTACACCAAACCAAGTTTTAGATGCATGCAAAAGGGAACAAGAGAATATATATACATAGATACCGGTAACAATTACATGGAAGATCTCTCATTCTGTTTAAGATTTAGCATATGACTACATAAGGAAGAGAAGGGACGTATTCCATTAACTGTAGTGAACAAAGCAAAAAAAAAGGGGGAAAGTAAACAATGATCTACCTCTAAGATAGTGTAAATAGGTATTGCAGTCTCCTCATCAATGATAATGCTCCTCAAAAGTGAACTATGGCGTCGACCATATGCCAATAGTATGTGTTCCGATGTCGGAGAGAACTGTTGGGAAGAAATTATTAGAAAAACGAAAATTTAGAATTTATAGGACTTTTCAATGCAAGCAAATGAAAGTCTAACAGGTATTGAACTGGTTAAGAATGACAGAGATTGTTTCTTACATATTATTGTTACATGTAGTATAATCCATGGTATTAAAAGTTAGCTTATTAATTATGTCGTGGCGCATGTAAAGTTATATTATTAAAGCAAAATTATGGTGCTGGGTTCAGGGTGACCCTAAACCAATATTTTCCCCTGAACTGTCTTCTTCGAGGAGGCCCACGTACTCCCAACAAGTGGTATCAAAGCCAAAACTATATCCCCATGGAGAGTGAAGTCCACGGTGAACTCCAATAAGTTGGGAAAGTCTGGTAAGCCTCATTAGTGACAGAGATCCTGTACTAGCAGTCATGATGCCACTCATGGTTGTCGGTTAAGATCAAAATAGGCTATTAATCTGCAGATGATGGATGAATCCCAAGACTCTGCCAAAAGACCTGTGGTTTCCCGTAGATGATCAAGGTATCCTCATAAGTTATAGATAAGGGAGAAATTATTGGAGATCCATATGTGAGTATAGTCCAGAATGGAAAGAACAACAACGCATAATGGATTTAAATAGAAATTTGGATCAAACCTAATAGTTTAAACTTTTGAATTTTGGTTCCCAATCTATATTTAGGGCTCCCAAGAGGCCCAAATACTCCCCAAAAGTCCCAACCTTAAATCTGGTTCAACCTTAGTCTAAGGTTTTGCAATGTAAACTACTGACTAGAGAGTAATTACCATAAACTACTGGTGTGTATACATGAGTAGTAATCTCGTCAATTACCACAAGCTAGTAGTGGGAATATGTGAGTAGGAAAGGCCGCTGAATTGTTTACAGCCTAAGCTCAAGCAAGCAAGGATTATGTTTAAGTATTAAGTACACAAAGGATACATCATGAAAAGGTACTTTGCATGATATGTCACTTGCTGCGCTCATATATAAATACTGGCACATGGGAAGCTAAGAAAATAAGATGATTTATCAGAGTCTAACCTGAATGGATGTCAAACAATGAGCAGCTCTGATAGCTCTTGAAGCCAGCACCTTACCAAAGCTATAACACAAATAGAAAATCAATTATAGTGCACATACGGAGCAATGTCTAGGGTCTGGACATAAATAGATACAAACAGAGATAAGAAAGGTCAAGATTTTACGTTGCCCCTTCGAGTGAATAAACTCGAAGCTCATACATGACTTGATGAGCTGAAATAGGGTGCCGAGTTGGAGATGCCCTGGCCCCAGCAGCATCATGGGGCATATGTGCCTGAAGTCCTGGATCACCTTCGACTTGAGGAAGCATACATGCTACACAGGCTACAAAAAATCGCCCGCAAGGAGAAAAGTGGGCACCCATTTCACTGTTATTATTGATAAGATGTAAATACTCAAGAATAAGTTAAAATTTAGACAAAACCAGCCAATAAGTTGTCCAAACCAGCCATCTTGGTCTAAACAGCCTTCTCAAAATAAAATTACTTTTCCTTTGAAATTAAAAGACATACTATCATTAATAAAACAAAAAAAAGGTTGGCAAGCTTTATGAAGATGTAACATTTGCAAGAACACAACTCACTTTATATAGACAGGCTAGAAATTAATCCTACATTAACTTTATTTAAAAAAGTCAGCTTGTTAGCTAATATATTAAAGTGATAAATAAACAAATCCGCTCTTTAACTAGTTCATTAAAGTGTTGAATAGAAGGAGATGTAAACAACATTGCGGAGAAAAATATTGATGGCTCATCACTCATTTATTTTTCCAACAAAATGCAGTCAGCTATTGTGTACGACTCAAAATGGAGAAAGCTTCACAAAATATTCACCAAACTTTTGCTATATCGTCCATATGACTGACATTAACCTTCCCTAAGTTGGTGCTAAAATTCAGAGTACAATATGAGCAAGAGGGAGATAGCCATAAACCCTTGAAGGTTAATTAGGTGGCAGAGATAACCTACTGTTTCTATACATGCTATTCAAACCAACAAAAGTTCCTCTAAGTCAAGATGAAAAGGTAAGGTGTCAAGCTCTATAGGAACTTGCTTTCGTCTCTCAGGCATAACATAAACCAAAGAGCAAAACATAACAACATTATTCTTCGTAAAAACAAAACTGATCGTGATACAAAAATAAATTGTATATGACAAATATAATAAAACGAATTTCTATTCACGCTGAACAGTTTCATAAGGTGATAAGAAAATATATGAACTTCCATGATCGTAGAGAAACTAGACCTGCAAAGGACGGCATGTGGTATAGTTAAGCGGCATTTATCTGGATTTAGAGTTGCACATGGAACCCGCATATCATGCGGCCATATTCTTAGCTTCACAGTACAAGGTAATTCTGCTGCGGCTACTGATGGAAGTGTTGCTGGAATTTCGGATCCAATTCCAGTACGACCAGAATGAGGCTCAGTTTCACCATCTTGCGAATTTAAAACCAGGGCACCTTCTCCAGAACCAGTTGAAGCCATCATATGAGACCGAGAACGATGACGAGAACCTGATCGACCAGAACCCCTAGATTGGCTGACGGTGGTTCTCATATTTGAAGAAGATAGCAGTGCTTCCATGTTACGACGATATTGTAGATGTGACGTCAACAAGTCAGTGCTTGTCCCCTGGCCCATGGATGGATCTCCTTGGAGGCTACTGTTAACAGGAAGCACATTGTTCAGGCCAGCGTGGGTTTGACCCATCAACCAGCCCTGCAAAAAAGGTAGCTCCCATCGTGATGGATCACTGATAGGCACTATCTGATGGACCTGTCCACCTTCTACGTTTCTCAGGAGTACCTGAAGGTCGGAACCAAAAGAAGGGTTATATGAACTTACTGCAGCACCATCAATCAGTTGCCTAGAGTAGCCAGTGGGCATTTGAACACCCATGCTGTTGGCTTGGGAAGTAGATGATATATTCTCAACAGTATTTGGTCGCCCTGCAATGCCACTAGACCTTTCTTGCTGGTACCTGCTGGTAGGGAGCACATGACTGGTTCCTGCACCTACCCTATAAGAATTTAATGGAGCTGTTTCCATTTCAGCGATCATAGAATTAGCAAGTGCATCCTCTGCCGAAAGACTTGTGCTAGAGGGCTCCCCAGGAGACATTTCCATAGGGGTCACTAAGTTGGTAAATTGGCTTTCCCCATTTGCATGTAGCTGTCTGGAAATATCTGTTTGTTGCTGAACATTGCCTAAGCTACTAACCCTGCCACCCAGCTGCAATGATGATCTAGCATCATCTCTTACAATTGTTGGCCAAAACAAGTAAGGAGAAGGTATAAGAGGCATGTTAGCCTCAAGGTGAGGACAGAGCCTAGAGTTGATATTCGCAAAAAAGACAGCAGGAGGAGGATATGGTGAATAACCACAAGAAGTCGCAAGAGCCAATGGTGAATCTGGGGAGTCAAGATCATTAACCTGCAAGGAGGAACAGATGCTTTATTTATTATTATTATTTTTTATAGATAGTGAGACTTGAAAAACAACAAGCGAACAATGCAATGTTGATATCAAGCCTTTCCAGTGAACAACAAAGCAGATGTAAATCCAAAAAGCAATTCTACCTCAGCTGTTAGTAAAAATGGGGCAGCGTGAGGATGGAAGTGTACAGCCCTCAAGGAACGCCGAGTCTTCAACACAATTGAAGGGGAAGATGTATCCCTTTTGTAGTTCCATATGAATAGCTACCATTCCAAAGTCAGGACACAAGGAATTAACTCTTGGAAAGATATTAAGTGAAACTAATGATATCAGTAATATATAACATAGTTCAGAGAATGCTTCCTTCGTCAGGAAAAAGTACCTTGTGACCTGAAGCTACAGCAAGCAGCTCCCCTTGAGCATGGAAGGCAATGGAGGCAATAGGACGATCTGGTTGTGCAATAGTAAGATTTTTGTCAATTAATCATCTGACAGGTAGAAAAAAGATCGCATATACTTTAAAGAATATACTAAAGGCAGAAAAGTCTCCAGTATTCAATAATACAAGAAACTTATGGGAGAGAGATTACAGAAATCATGTGATCCTATACAAACAGCAGAGTTTGCATCCCAAAGCCGCACTTCGTGATCTAAGCTGCCACTAGCAAGTATCTCAGAATACAGCGGATGAAACCTAACCTGCAGATAGACCGTCATAAAGATGATGGGAGACAAAGAGGCTTCAGAATAACTACAATACCAGTAATTTCAGGTTGAATATCAAATTACAAAAATAAAATAAAATAAAAATAAAATAAAATAATAGAGGACTGACTGCATCATATACCATAATGATAATCATGAACAAGATTTAATTTATATAAGAAGTTTCTAAGGAGACAGAAGAATTCAAATTCATAAACAGAAGAATTCAAATTCATAAAACTAAGGGGTTTTTGTCCTTAGACACAAATGTTTACCATGATTTATGTTTAAGCCCAATAACATTTCTTTGTATCTTTAGGCCCAATCAACTTTGTGCATTTATCTTTAAACCCAAATTCTCAAACACACTTCATGCTTATGTGATCCACCCTAAAAAATTTCAAAAGAAATCCAATTTTACCGTCTCTTTTTTTCATTTAATTCTCTCCCACCTCGTTTGCTCTCTTATTTCCTTCTTCAACTTTCATAACCATTAAATACTCCTCACCTCTCTAGCCAAATGTTTAAATACTAAATTTTGACAATGCTTCATTTTTTAGTATTCTAACCTATAAATTCTCCCAATTGCTAATATCGGTTAACATGCACGATAAAACAAAAGAAATTTGGGAACAAGTGATTGAATATGGTAACCATAAAGAGGTGTGGGCAATTAAAAGTAATCGAAGAAAAGATGTGGAATGGTAACTTTTGATCCAAACAATTTAGGTAGTTAACACAAGTGCACTAGTTAAGCGGGCAAAGAGACTGTAGAGAAACAGAAAAGGCAAAGTTCTTATTCATCTAACCCTAATCTCTCTTAAATAGAAATCACGAGGATATTACAAAATAGGTATGAAATAAAATTATATCTAATCACATCTCACAATATCTCACAACCTCTACTAATATTTACCAATACTAATAATATCTAACACTTTCCCTTAAGCTAGAGCATGTATACTATATATGTCTAGCTCGTTACAACTGGAAATAAAACACCTTGTTGCAAGAGCTTTGGTAATGTCATCTTCGTTTGAAATACTCGAAGACGTCAACATTTAGTTAAGTGTAGTCACAGCTAGAAGAAACAACAAGCCCGATTGATCTATCACTCGCTCTTGATTTTGGCGTCATTTAACAAGAAAGATGATATCAAGGTAAAAATTAGAAGATTTCACCTCACAAAAGGCCAGGTATTGAAACACTGCATTAAGGTGCCGAGGGAATACTGTTTATGAACAGTAACAAATATTTTTTCCCCTTTTCATTAGAGTTTTCTGTAAATGATATTTTGGAATTGACCGAAGTTGTTATTGACCCTAAAGATGTGGAAGCCACCTACAAGAAGCATGGAGGCACAAACCCCATTGGCAACCCCGAGGTCAAGGAAGAAGAAAGAAGTCTTAAATAGGGACTAGAAAAAATATATTACAAAATAGGTATGAGACAAAATCATATATCAATCTCTACTAATATCTACCGATACTAATAATATCTAACACCATTTTAGAGATTTTGGATCTCGATAGATGAGGATATCATGATTTGGAAGGAATATCCTTAATTTAAAAGATAAAAGATGTTATCTTGGAATTTCCCGATGAGAGGGTTATCTGCTATCACTTATGTTGCATGGATACAGGTACGGGTATCAGTGCAGGTACGGGTATCGGTGCGGGTATGGTACACGGAAAATTTGCAAAAGGTAGGATTAGGGGACACAATTACATAAATATTTATGTACGCATATAGTATATATTGAAATTAATAGTTTACATGATAACAATGTTTTTTTATTCGCGTATTATGAGAGAATTAAAATTCCTATAACATACTTCTGTTTCTTTTACTATTTGGATTATAAATTGTAAAAACACTCGTCTTTTGAACTAAACACCCACACGATCATTAAAAATCACGATCATTAAAAATCATAGTTTGGAACCCAACGAATTTCAAGAAGTTGATATGAATTGTAGGATTTACGTCCTGGAAATGTTTGACAAGTGATCTAAGTTAAAATATGTATTGTTTAATTGCCTACATGCCCAAATCAATGTATGCATATATGCAAGGAGTGTCCAAGAAATTTGGGTATGGGTACGCGTACGTGCCAAGTATGGGTACGGCATCAAGATAGAAGTACCCAGGTGCCATAAGCTATCACCCTACTGTATAGAGGCATTACCTGCATTTACCCTGAAAAGATAAGATCATGCAAATAACTTGCAATTCCCTGCTCCTAAAAATCATTGTTCCTATTTCTCTGCTAACAATTAAGGAAACCTTGTGAATAGATTAATGATTGCTTCACAATAATAACCTTGATTAGTGATTTGACAATTATGAATAGATTAGTGATTGCTTCACAATAATAACCGTAATTAACCGGTAAACTGTATCAATGTTTAATAAATTATGCCTCAGCCATCAGAAACGAGTGAAAGTAACTTAAAGATAGTTTACACAGGAAATTAAATGAGAATTATGTGTTAGCTTAATTAAATAACGGAATAAAAATATGTACAGAGCAGTATTTGCACGTACCACCCATGGTGTCCGCCGATGCCCACTTAAGACCTTTAAACATCTCCCAGTTTGACAATCAATTATTTTAACAGTGTGATCACCACTGAAATGCATTCAAGGCACTGTTAACAATATAGCTAACATGGCAACCAATCTTTAAGGATTTGAAAATACAGAGTACCAATAGCAACTCCAACTTACTGTGTAGAAGCAAGTGTTTTTCCATCCAAACTAAATGCTGCAGCAATGGTTGACCTAGGTGGTGGTACAAGAGAACAATATTTGGCCGACAAATGATGCAATGACTTTGCTTCTACCCTGAGAAAGTGATGCAACATAAAACAACAATAGAGAATTCTCGTTTTAAGATTGAAAATTGTCACGTGCAAATCAACTGAGCGCTAGAAACTACTAAATTATTGGAATGTTGCACCAAAAGTGCATGTACTCTGAGTAGTCCATTTCATCTTATAAGATGAAACTTTAAAAGTAATAAACTTTATATGTTAAGTTAATTTACCGAGAGCTTAGAGCAAGTCTTGCATCTATTATTTCACATTTGGACCCAATACAATCAGTCCTAAACTTTATAAGATGAAACTTTAAAAGTAATAAACTTTATGAGATGAAACTTTAAAAGTAATAATCTTTATATGTTAAGTTACTTTACCAAGAGTTTAGAGCAAGTCTTGCATCTATTATTTCACATTTGGACCCAATACAATCAGTTCCAAACTTTTTTGCGTCCCCATGCAGCCTTTTGGAAGAATATCTTGCACGTGGAGAGATTTCCCTCCATGATAACAACCGAAAGATGTTTTTGTGGCTACAAAATCGAAAAAACGTTAAAAAGTCATCAGTAAAGGGACATGTCTTTGTTATTTGTACCATGTTTAGAAGAAGCTTTAACCAAATTTTATCCCTCGGTGTTCTTAAGATTAATCTTCATGCACCATCAGAGCTAACAAAGCATTCAAGACATTTCTGCATAAATCTTGAATATGTGCATGTGTAAGAACATCAAGGGTTGCAGAAAGGGCAAAAGATCAAGGATTTACAACCAGAGAACTACACCAATAAAGCAATGGCCTACAACTCAATCAAAAAATTCAAATAAAGAAAGGTAGAAAAAACATAGAATTCAATCAAAAGATGACAAAATATTCCAACGTTTGAAATAAAAGAAAACAATAAGCAGAAATTCATGAAGGGCATGAGACCTGTTTTAACAAGCTTCGAGACCTGCGCATGAGCACCTTAAGCACATTTGATGCAAATGTTGCAATCTAATTTGAAAGCGAAAGAAGATTTTGAGTTTTTAGCTTCTGAGAACTTTTTCTCTTAATTTTGCAGTTTGGAATTCAAGTATGGAATCTTCTAGCAAGTATATTCAAAATCGGACAACATAATAGTTAGTATAACACAAGGATAGCATCAGAAGTTATTTTTAACCTGCAGTAGTTTCCACTTTTGGAGGCTTATTCTTCAAATAAATATTTAAACACAACAGCAAGAAAATCAACGAGCAATCTTAGTGTTATTTTGCAAATATTAAATGTACAACATTCAAGAAAAGCTAACCATGGAACCCCAAAAAAAACACTGTCACACGGAAGCCTTATCAATTCTAACAGTAATTCATATAAATCAGTCTCGATACTGACTGCACAAAGTGCATTCCTAAAGAACCATTGGTCGCTGCAACTACACAAATGTAAGCAAATTCAATCATTACAAGGAAAGAAAAATAAGCAACAAGTTCCTAAAATGAAGTTCACCAGCACCTCAAACTAGAAATTTGTCGATGTTGTGAAGATAAAGGATAAGGGCTAGATGAAGCAGAACCCTCATACAACTTTGAATCATTAAAGCAATGTTGCGTCATTTCTTTCTTTCAACATGATGGTCCTGAAAATAACATTACCAATAATGATTAAGAGCAAAACAAAGGGCATCACAAGTACATGCCAGAAGAAAAGCCAACAACATCATCATGTTTATCCCTGTTAGGAAGGGTATTCAATTTACAAATTCTATTGATATCCATAATAGACTTATTTCAATGAGAAAGAAAAAAAAAGGTAAGAACACGTTAAATAGTAAGGCCTTGCACAACCTCAGCCTAATATGAAATATAATGTTTTTGAATTGAGACCCTTCTACAGAAATATATATAACCCTGTTACCTGTTTATACTATCTTTATTTGAACACTCTGACTGAAATGCGCATGAACGGATTTGGATTTTATAACATCTAAGAGGGAGGATATGAAATGAAATTATTCATGAACCAGACACATGGAAAGGAAAATATAAAGTTATTCTACACATGTTTACAAGTTCTCTAGAACAAACTAAAAGGCAGAAGAAACGAACATGAAAAAAGTATTGGTCCTCAAATCTCCTATCCCTCCCCCCACCTCCACCCCAACTACCACCAAAAGAAAAGGAAAAAGAAAGAAAAGAGAATCTACTCATAGTTTCATAATAAGCAGGAGTTGGACAGTATATGGAACCGTGGCCCAGGTTCAATGTCCCAGAATGGGGAACATTTGCAATCTGAATCGTGGTTGAATACGACCCCGTTCGCCAACTCTGGCAATCCGATTAAGAGTTCAGACTACTTAAAGTTTTGAAAAAAAATTACACCATTTTCAGAAAATGAACAGCAAAATGTGCGAGAAATTAAGCAAATAAAGTATGCACATCTTAATTGCAACATGATTCTGAAGGTTCTTTTACTACAACTGATATCAACTAAATGATAAGCTATAAGTAACCAAAGAAAAAAGAAAAAAAATGCTAAGATTCTTATATGTAAAAACAAACCAAAAGTGTATCATGTTCTCTAGCATATTGTATAAGCCTACCCCCCCTCATCCCAACTCCAAATAAGTGCAGTACCAAGCTCTCATTCCCATCCTATGAATTGGAATAAACTGCGACCATGCAACTATGAATCTACTTTAACAGACTGGATGTGATTACAGAATATCGAAACAACATTATAAATTTGCAACCATTTTCCATTAAAATACTATCGAGTTATTTAACCATAAATGCACCAGTACAGACTGTTATAATGTAATATCCATCAGATATATGTATAAAGCCACTTGACCCAACAGCTTGCACCACAATGTAATATCAAGCCCTTAATGGACGCATAAAATATGTAAAAAAATTGGGGAAATAAGCGTAAAACTTCTCACAGTATGCATCATCCAAGTTCAGGTTAGTAGAGATAATTTAGACAATGAGACAGACAGCTAGACGTTCGAGTAATACCATGAGAACCGATCGAAATTGACCTTGCATAAAGCAGTATATTTACATTTAGTTTCGGAAGCTTAAAAGGCACATTACTATTGAACTAAAAGGCAAATATGACAATTAGGGTTGATGTTTATAGGTTTTGGTAGAGATCACACTAGAAGCATGGAACAGATACACCACACAAGAAAGTTTTTTATTGCTCAAAGACTACTGGAATTCATGACCATAGGCTCTCGCCCTCAATTGGAGTATTGAAAAATTATAACGAGAAAGTTCATTTCACACGTGATAACGAGAAGTGCCAGAGATAATGGTCCATAATTGAACATCATAGCCACACGGGCACACACACAAAAGAGAATTGATCAGGTATAAGCAACAAATGCATGGATGTAGAAACTAGCAACCACTTCATTTCTGCGAGCATTTATCTAAGCCATAGAAATTGATATAGATCAGCAAAACTGGCCTTCTGATCTACTACACCGTACATCTAAAGGTCACTGACTTTATACCAATCCCTCCGAAATCAGTCATCAACAGGGTTACTTCTCGTTTCTACTATTCAAATTGCCAAATTTAAATCCCAATTTCAAGAAATTAATAAAAATTACAACTCGCTGCAATAATCATAAAAAATTATATTAAAGCTGAATCAATTCAATCAATTCACGGCGCAAATCGAGAGAGAATTCGAAACATTTACCTCTGGATCCACAGAATTTCATAATTAACATCAGATCGGAGGCGCGGGCCACCAAATTGCAGGCGATCCCACGCTTATTTTGAAAATTGAAAGGAATTTTGATGGAGTGATGCGAGGAGCTAGGGTTTTGAACGAGATTAGGGTTTGTGAGAATAGGAGGGAGAGAGAGAGAGAGAGAGAGAGAGAGAGGACGAGATCCGAGGCGACCGCAGCCGGATTTGAATGAAAGGGAAGAGAGAGAGAGAGAGAGGAAATAAAAATAGAAGAAGAAGAAAACCTAAAATCGAAACCAGAACTGATATAAAAACTAAACCGGACAAACGTCGGGCCGCGATGAACGGTTCGGTCTAGTGTGGGGCCCACTTGGATAACTTGGTTTATTTAAAGGACTCTTTACATATTAGTCCCTTAATATGTTCACATTTAAACTACCCTATAAAATCATTGGACTTTTTATCAAAGTCTCTCAAATGTTGCAAGCTACTTAGGCCTCGTTTGGTACACGGGAATGGGGTGGAATGGAATGTCATTCTCACTTCTCATTCCCTCATACCAAACAAAACTTATTTTTAAATGTTGGAATGATCATTCTCATGGAATGGTCATTCTCACTTTGTGGGAATGGGCATTCCAAATGAGAAGATATGGAATGATCATTCCCATTCAATGGGTGAATTAAATTAGTTAGGTTTTTTTAATTATACCCCTATTAATAATAAGGTCCCGTTTGGTACGCGGGAATGGGGTGGAATGGAATGTCATTCTCACTTCTCATTCCCTCATACCAAACAAAACTTATTTTTAGATGTTGGAATGACAATTCCCATAGAATAGCCATTCCCACTTTTTGTGAGAATGTGCATTCCAAGTGAGAAGATAGGGAATGATCATTCCCATTCAAGGGGAGAATCAAATTAGTTAGGTTTTTTTTTCAATTATACCCCTATTAATAATAAGAATCAATTTAAAAATCATGGCTTTTGACTACGTTTTCTCATTTTCTCTCAGCTACTAATTATATTCGAACAATAAGAATTTTTTGGGGGGTAGGGATTAAAACTAGTGATACATATTTCAGTAGCATATTAAAACTAGTGATACATATTTCATTAGCCTGTTATATCACAATTGCTCAACATAGGAGCAACACAATTTAATATAAAAAAATACAACTGAAATTATATATTATTTGCCGATTAAAATTCTTTCATGTCAATATTTTTTTGGGTCAATCAAATTTTTTTGTTTATTCACCAATGTTTAAAGTCTGTTATTTTCATCAGCATATTATATTCTTTTTGAACTTTTGCTATTGTTTTCCTACCATAGAGAACTATATGTACCCATTGCATACATGTTTGATTGTGGTTCATGCACAACAATAAATCTAACTTTTGATTGAAAAATATTTGACCCAATATTTATGAAAGGAGGAAACTCTCGCTGAGAAATTGGCCAAAATATTAAAATTATCAAAACCATATAATGTCTAGACTATACATAGAGGTATAAGGGCATTATTATAACACATACCTAAATTAATATAACATATACAGAAATAGTGAGAATTGTTTAAAAAATATAAACGAAACATACACCTGATCGATAACATGTGCATTAGTATAACACATACCTAGATTAATATAACGTATGCATAAATAAATTTTTTTAGTTATTATCATTAATGTTTATTTTTATCTTATTAAAAATCTATGTTGTTATAAGGGCATTATGAGAAAATGAGATTACATTCTCACTTGTGAACTAGTGATACCAAACATGGGAATGAGAATTAGATTTTCATATTAGCTTCATTCTACAAACGCACCCAAACAAGAGAATGGGAATGACCATTCCATTCTCACATACATTCCAAAACGCACCCAAACAAGAGAATGGGAATGACCATTCCATTCTCACATACATTCCATTCCATTCATTCTTCCATTCCATTCTCACTTGACTTCATTTACATTCCATTCCATTCATTCTTCCATTCCATTCTCACTTGACTTCATTCCCACGTACCAAACGAGGCGTAAGAATTAATTTAAAAATCATAGCTTTTGACTACGTATTCTCATTTTCTCTCAGCTACTAATTATATTCGAACAATAGGAATTTTTTGCAGGGTAGGGATTAAAACTAGTGGTACATATTTCAGTAACATATTAAAACTAGTGGTACATATTTTATTAGCCTATTATATCACAATTATTCAACATAGGAGCAACACAATTTAATATAAAAACAGATATAACTGAAACTATATATTATTTGCCGATTGAAATTCTTTCATGTCAATTTTTTTTTGTCAATCAATTTTTTTTGCTTATTCACCAATGTTTAAAGTCTGTTATTTTCACTAGCATATTATATTCTTTTTGAACTTTTGCTATTGTTTTCCCACCATAGAGAACTATATGTGCCGATTGCGTACATGTTTGACTATGGGTCATGCACAACAATAAATCTAACTTTTGATTAAAAAATATTTGACCCAATATTTATGAAAAGAGGAAACTCTCGCTGAGAAATTGGCCAAAATATTAAAATTATCAAAACCATATCATGTCTAGACTATATATAGAGGTATAAGGGCATTATTATAACACATACCTAGATTAATATAACATATGTAGAAATAGTGAATATAAACGAATCATACACCTGATTGATAACATGTGCATTAGTATAACACATACCTAGATTAATATAACATTAGATTAATATAACATATTAATAAATAAAATTTTTTAGTTATATCATTAATGTTTATTTTTATCTTATTAAAAATCTATGTTGTTATAATGGCATTATTAGAAAATGAGATTTCATTCTCACTTGTGAACTAGTGATACCAAACATGGGAATGAGATTTAGATTTTTATTCTAGCTTCATTCAACAAACGCACTCAAACAAGAGAATGAGAATGACCATTCCATTCATTCTTCCATTCCATTCTCACTTGACTTCATTCCCACGTACCAAATGAGGCGTTAGGGGTTGTTTGGGAAGGCTTATTTTTTTTAAGCTTTTAAGTTATGTTGGTTTTTTAATGGCTTTTGATTTGTTTGCTAAAAATACTATAAAAATTATTTTTGTAAAATATTAACTTGCTTGGTCAAACCTAGCTTTTTAAATTGACCTTATAATCTAGTTTTTCAATAGCTATGATATACCAGCTTTTTTAAAATGACCCTTATAAGCTAACTTATTTGGCATTTTCCAAACAGATAGAAATAAAAAAGCTAGCTTAAAAACTTGTTTGACCAAAAAATAAACTCTCTCAAACACCCTCTTAAAATTAGTTCTAATCGTAAGCTACTTTTTTTTAAAATGCGTCGCTTAACGGTTTTAGTAGATCTTTGAGTTATAATCTAAACCTTCAACCTCTAAAATCTCAAGTCTAATAGATCTGAAGTATGGAGCATCTTGTCTTAGCACAAGTTTATCACATCGAACTTGATAGATTGGTACTCTTTTTTTTTTTTTTTTGCCAAAGCCCAACATTTTTGAGTCATATACTAGCTCAATTTTAATTACAAGAGAGTATGAGATCTCATTATACTCTTATACCAAATACTAGATTGTTAGCTTGAGTATTGCACGGGCTTTTGTTGAAATGCAGCCCCTCCCGCTGTGTTTGCTCGTGAGCATAAGCTCTAAGACCATCGAGGTCTCGAGACCAAAGGAAAAAAAAGAGCCAAACCGCCTCTTCTCTAGGAAGCCTCTCGTTCCTTAAATCGATCTCAATCTAATCATCATCTATAACCAGCTCAATATTTACAGTTTTACTTATTGTAATCGCTAAGGGGGTGTTTGGTTCATCCATTTTGTAGTAGAAAAGTTTTAGGAAAAGACTTGACAATGGTAATTTTATAATTAAAACTTTTCTGTTGTTTTCTATAAACTATGTTTAGTTCAAAAAAGGCCATAAAAATGTTTTCTATAAAGTAGAAAAAAGTACCACATTTTATAGAAACCAACTTCCTCTCAAAATGAGAGGAAATTGGTGAGAAATCTGACGCATTGATTTAAATAATAGTTATTGTACAAACTTATCTATTTCCACTTCTCAACTCATTTTCTATGAAGTTGATTTTCCCTCTTTTAGTATTTTTGAACCAAACAAATAAAGAGTAAAAAAAAAACACCACTTTTTGAATTTTTATAAACTTTTCCTATAACTTTTTATAGAATTACATGGAAATCAATTTTTAGGTACTTTTCATTTTCCTTTTTTTATAGAAATTTAACCAAACAGCCCCCAAGTCTCTGATAGGAAAGGGGAAGAACACCTTTTTATAGAGTAAGTGTGATTGCAAATATCCGACAAAGAGTAGGGGGCTACAAGTAATTTACGGCCAAAATTTTCATGAACTTCCCCCAAAATGCGCAATCGGGTCACGGTACCCGACCCGTAACCCCGCAACTTCCAATCTTTGTTCGCTAGCCGGTAGCCACTGTAATCACTCTCACCCGCGTCCACAGCCATTAACCTCTCTTTCCTTCCATGCTCCTCTCAAATCCCCTCTACTTCACAAACCCAATTCCAAACCGTAACCCTAATTTCCCGCCATCGCAGCCTCCATCTCTACCTCGTCGCCGCTTCCGCCTCCGTTGCCGTCCAGGCGGTGGCGACCGTCGATGGGACTCGAACGCGGAGTCTTTTCGGTTCAGGTTCCGAGACGAAGACGACGATGAAGGAGGGAAGAGTAATAGTGGTCGGAGGTGGTGGCCTGATGAGGATGGGGATGATTTTGATGATGAATTTGATTTCTTTGAGGAGGATAGTGAGAGTTTTTGGGATAAATTTTGGATCTTTAAGGTAATTGTTGGTTTTTTGCTGCTCTCGTAGTTTGATAATGCACAAATATTTCCTTAACTTCTGTCTTTTTGGTAAAATAGTGTTAATTCAAGAGCAGCTAACCTTACAGTTGTTAGATAAAATCAAATAAAAGTTATAAGTTATAGCATGCAAAAATCCGAAATAAAAGAAATAAGAAAGTCTGGCCTGATCGGGAGCAATCGTGTAAACATTTCCATAGAAGATTAAGTACCCGTCTATCGCCTTGATCCTCTAGCTGTAAAAACTTCCGGAATCGGTCAGTCGCTGAACTTGGGCGAGAGTGCAGAGCTTCTGCTTAGATGAAGACAGTTGACCAATAGAAAGTGTAATGTAACAGAGAGAATTTTAAAAAGGAAGACTTTTCTGAAGGCAGAAGAGGGAGGAGGAGAAGAGCTTTTGTTTTCTTTTATGATTCTGTGTGTTTTTCGAACTGGGAAGAGGCAGTTTATATAGGGTTCAGAGAGCCGTTACGAATCCACACGTTATGCAAAATCGAGGATCCGTTACCCCCAAAACGTGCCCGTTACGAAAGTTCCGCAGCCGTTACACACGTTTTAATTGTCGAGAAAAAAAACATGTAAAACGTGGTAAAAATAAAGTTTGACAAAGCAAAAAAATGCGTGCGCGTGCGGTGCGACGTGGCGCGTGCGTCGCGGCGAGGCGTGGTATGCGTGCGCGTGTGCGTGTTATGCAAAGTCCAAACAATACAAAGCCCAAAACACCCCCTTCTTAGGGATCCTTAAAGCCTAACAAGAGGAGAAGCAATTTAAATCCTTTACTATTTATAACACTAGTTCATGTGGGACTATTCATAGGAAGCAAGATTGTCTTTTCTCCCACAACATAGCCAACAGCCCCCCCCCC